AATTGCCCATTGACCGAATGTCTCCACAGGGGATTGGCACCAGCACTGAGCACAACGTCCAGCTGGCAGCGTACAGTCTCAGGGTCCGGCTCCAGGACGGGCCTGTCCTGCTCTGTGCTCCCTTTCACGGGGGAGCCATGGTCCAGGAGGGCAGACGGAGTGAGGGGTGTGGGTCGTAAAGGATCCGTGCCCATCTCCTGCCCACTATCAGACGCTGACTGCAGATCCTGCAGGCTGGTCATGTACTGACGGAGTCTGGCTCGCTCAGCTTCCATCTCCAACTTCTTCCTTCGTTTCCGCCGCTGCTTGTGAAACGTCAGCTTGAGGCCGTCCTCCTGCGTGAGGGAGGGAGAGAGGGAGGGACGGGGCAAGGGCACAGAGTGCCAGCGAGGGGGGGCAAAGAGAGAGTGGGGCAGAGAGAGCAGGAGATGGAGAGGGATGGAGGAGGGGGGAAAGAGGGATGGAGGAGGAGGAGGGGAAGAGGGAAGAGAATGGGAGAGGGGGGAAAGGGGAATGGAGAGGGAGGGAGGGAGAGGGGCGGAGGGAGAGGGGCGGAGGGAGAGGGGCGGAGGGAGAGGGGGAAGACGACAGGTGAAGGCAGAGAAAGGGGGAGGGGAGGGCAAGGGCAGAAAGAGGGAAGGAGGAGAGATGGAGGAGGGTCAAGAGCAGGACGGTGAAGGGAGGTCAGAGAGACACAGAGGGAGAGGGCAAAAAGGCAGAGACAGAGCACATGGTGGGGGGAGAGGGAATTCAGGGAGAGTGCGAGCAGAGATATGGGTAGAACAGGAAGGAAGGGGCAGACCACAGCAGATGAGTAAAGCAGACAGATGGCACATTACTGCACAGTGCACCGTCACCTACCCGGTCTGCCAGTTCCCTACCCTCCAGACTGTGCCCAGAGCACTGGGTTCAGACCGAGAGGACAGTTCAGAGGCAGACATGGCCTTGTTCCTACATATGCTGCCCTCGCACAGCTGGAGGTATTGCGAACCCCCTGTCAAACGATCCCACTCCCCTCGCCCCGGCCCATAAACACGAGGAGATGTGCTGTCCCCAGCTCAAACCCACCACACAGAATGAGGAATCTCCACATCAGAGAGGGCTCCTCCCCAGGGAGGGGGGAGGAGGCTGGGTCCCTAAG